ATACCAGTGTGTATGTGTGTGTGTATAAATGTACAACAGAGCATCCCAACATTCTTCACCTCTGTCTGTCACAAAAGATTCCTTTCTCTTTATTTAACAAGACATTGCAACAGTAGAGGTCAGGTAGGCAGATAACCAAGAAAAAGAAATCAAAATAACCTGAAGGAAGAGGACAGGAGGGAGAAAACTGGGATTGCAGGAGAATTCACCTGAATTCACAATCTATTTCATTTTATGCCCTCCTTTATTTTCAGCTTCATAATGGAGGGAAGTAAGTGTCTCCCAAGGATGATTTATTAATAAGTGATTTGGAGTCAGGGATGAGCACTAAGTTAGCCAACTTTGTGGAGGAACGCTATGTTTTTCAGAATGGTAAAAACCCAAGCAGACCATAAAGAGGACCCCTCTCAACTAGCTGAATGAGAAACACAATAGCAAATGAGATTCAATCTATATCGTGCATTTTGTTTATATAGCACAGTTATTTATGGCATTCTTGTGTTAATGTTGCCTCATAACTCAAGCATAATTCAGCTGCCCATGAATTCTGATTTATCATTATGAACAGAATAGCTGCTATATACTAACAGTATTGTCTCATAAACTAGTAAATAGCCCTATAAATGTTTATAGTACTTTTTTTATTTGACATAACTGAAAAATAGTAAGAATCTGAATGGGTTCTGCAAAGTGTTATGGAATAACATATATTTTCTAAGCCATACAACTATAAGCTGCCATTCTATGTGAACAAGCTTGATAAATCATACATAATATTGCTATTGGAGTGGAGATAATATTGTAGTGGGGTTTCCTACAATCATTTATGCTAAGAGGTTTTTCAAGACCTCAAGCACCGCAGTGTTGCCAAATGACTTTGAACTGTCCTGCTCCTTTGCCTTTTAGAGCACATTGAACTTCAAGAATCAACTGGGGAATTTTTTGTGTGCCATGTTACATATAGATGACAATCATTAACCACTAGTGTAGACTTCCCCAACCTGTGACCTCCAGAGGTTTAGGATGACAAATTGCATCAGTTGCAGCCAGAATGGCCAACTGTTAGTTTTCATTCAAAATGTATGGATGACACCAAGATGGTGAGGGTTGTGTTAATGTGTGTCAAAGAAGCTGTTGTCAAAGGCACATGAACAGCAGTTTGTAAGATGTTGGCAACTCTTAGTAAGAATCTAAAGCTTTTGTGTTCAGATGCAAATGCCTCTGAACCAAAGTAAATACACGTTAGAATGCAGCCTTATTAAACTGGAAATATTCTTAAAGTACTTGAGCTATTAATTTTTGCCACCCTGACAGTTGTTGTTCTTGTTTTGCCCTTTTATACAATTGCTCTTTTGATGTGTGGAGTTCATTCCTACTTGATGCAATTTTTAAAATAAAGGCATATAAAATAAGAAGAAGAAGAAGAAGAAATTTATTTATACTCAGCCCATCTGGCTAGGTTTCCTCAGCCACTCTGGGCTGCTCCCAACAGAATTAAAAGCATAATAAAGCATCAAACATTAAAAACCTCCCTAAACAGGGCTGCCTTCAGATGTCTTCTAAAAGTCAGATAGTTGTTTATTTCCTTGACATCTGACGGGAGGGCGTGTCACAGGGCAGGTGCCACTACTGAGAAGGTCCTCTGCCTGGTTCCCTGCAACCTCACTTCTCACAAAGAGGGAACGGCCAGAAGGCCCTCGGCACTGGACCTCAGTGTCCAGGCTGAATGATGCGGGTGGAGACACTCCTTCAGGTATACTGGGCCAAGGCCATTTAGGGCTTTAAAAGTCAGCACCAACACTTTGAATTGTGCTCGGAAACATACTGGGAGCTAATGTAGGTCTTTCAGGACCGGTGTTATATGGTCTCAGCGGCCACTCCCCGTCACCAGTCTAGCTGCTGAATTCTGTATTAGTTGCATTTTCTGGATCACCTTCAAAGGTAGCCCCACATAGAGCGCATTGCAGTAGTCCAAGCGGGAGATAACTAGAGCATGCATCACTCTGGTGAGACAGTCTGTGGGCAGGTGGGTCTTAGCCTGCTTACCAGATGGAGCTGGTAGACAGCTGCCCTGGACACAGAAATGACATGCACCTCCATGGACAGCTGTGAGTCCAAAATGACTCCCAGGCTGCACACCTGGTCCTTCAGGGGCACAGTTGCCCCATTCAGGACCAGGGAGTATAAACTAGGGATGCATGTTGTATTTGGATGCATCCTGAGGTAAAACAAGGTTCTTCGGAGGGAATTTGGATATGTCTGAGGCAAAGAAGGATCTGTGTACACATGACTCTTGAAGTGTTCTGCTGCTCTTTGGCAATCCAGACATTTCAAAAAATGCTGCAGTCAAGTAATGTCTCTAAGATCACTTTTATAAGGAATAATGCCAGGTAGGGATGCTAAAGAAGGCAGAGCAAACACCAGAGTGGGAGAGGGCAGAGGGAGAGCTCCATTATAAGAAGAAGAAGAGGAGTTTGGATTTGATATCCCGCCTTTCACTCCCTTTAAGGAGTCTCAAAGCGGCTAACATTCTCCTTTCCCTTCCTCCCCCACAACAAACACTCTGTGAGGTGAGTGGGGCTGAGAGACTTCAGAGAAGTGGGACTAGCCCAAGGTCACCCAGCAGCTGCAAGTGGAGGAGCGGAGACGCGAACCCGGTTCCCCAGATTATGAGACTACCGCTCTTAACCACTACACCACACTTATAGCCTTATAGGGAATGGTTTCAACTGGAAAGCAAAGCCCATTTAGTTCTTCCTCCCCAAACAATTTTAAAGCTGTCTAGCCCATCAACTCTGGACTTTTTGCCTGTAATTTGGCAGGTTTCTTACCCAGGGACCCCCATCTAATGTCTGCAGTCTTAAGGCCAATTGTCCACAAAACACTGCAGGAGATTAAGTGATTCATTTTCTTATCCATCTTAAAATTCCAATAGCTACTCTTGTGCGCAAAACTACAGCAGCTATCCTTCTGGAATTTGACATGATTCATGTCCTAAGAAGGAGAGATGCCTGCAAATTTCATTCAATCATGCCCTCAAATAAAATAAAGCCATGAACTTTTACTATTAAAATAAAAAAGCCTACATTTTAAATGTCACCAGCAAAGAAAATCCTGTAATTTGGCAGGCTTCATCAATGTATTTTGCCTAAACATTTCATTCACATCTGTCAAAAGGTGGGGGGAATTGTTGACTTTTTAAAAATTTCCAATAGTGAATGGAGGGATGAAGTAGACTAGGATGGTCTGAAGTTGAAATGGGCTGCACCACAGACTGAGACAGCCTTTTTCCAAAGCCCAAATTCTGGTCCAAACTAAACCTTGTTTGTGTGCACCTCTAATACAAACTTGGTAAAAAAGTGGGGGAAAGTACCACTTTGCTGAGCAATGTATGATTGTGTGCCCATTAATAAGATTCATTTTATATCCTGAGGGTTTTGTCACGAATCTACATTTTAAGCAAACCCTCATTACCTTAGGCTTAGTGGAAGGCCAGTTTAGCAAAGGTTTTGTTACTTACATTGCTTTCTATTACCTGTCAGATGACTGAACTTCTACCATTTAACAATATGCTAACAAACTCAAGTCCCTAGAGAGTCTTGGAAGCACAGTCTGTTCTAATGAATGCCTACCAAAGAACCCCTGCCGCCTCCTAAGAGACTGTGTGGTGTGAACAGCCTACTTAAATGAGAGAAGATGACAAAATGTTGTTGACAGTGGGTTTCCTACATTGGAAGACAAATATTACCTTAGAGGCCACTTCCAGCTCATGATTCTAATCCTATTTCAAGATGAGTTTACTGCATGCTGACCTGGGCATCATGTGTGCTTTATTAACGAAACAATAAATATTGTAGAAAGTTGTCTTCAACAGAGCTGGAACATGTCTCCATCTAGCTCTCTATTGTTACTGACACTGGTGCTCCGGGGTTTAGGATAGGGAGTCTCTCCCAGCCCCATAACAAGAAATGAGTTTAGGATTTTTGGCATATAAACACGTGCTGTTCCTCTGTAGAAAGAAACACATTCTCACAAGACCAAGCTAGAGGGGCACATCTGAAGCCATGTTATGGCATTTGCAAACCTAGGAGGAAGAGCAGATTTCACATCTATCTGTGCCAGACATTGTAGCATCTGAGCCTAGTATGGCTTTATAGCTGTACATGCTCCTCCAAAGGTATAGAGACCTGCAACTCTGAAAACCCACTTGTTTCTTTAAGTTTCTCCACAATATTTTCTTTCCCCCTCAGAATGGGAACAGGAAAGAGATTCTGAATTCTAGTCAGGGTAGTGATTTTCAAAAGAGCTGGTTTTGCTAGCTGACAATGGGCAGATATGAAAAAGGACAGATAAGGATCTAGATAACAAGCTGAACAATGGGCTTCCCTGAGTGAGAGGGGAAAGGAAAAGAATGGGAAAACGGTACAATGAAAATTCCATTGCCATAGAAAAGGTTGTTCCAGTAACAAATGAGGCTACATGTGGTAGGTAGTTGAGCCTTAGGGCCAGTACATACTGTCAGATGCAACAGGAATTTCTATTGTCATAACCCAGCCTCAACTAGGGTGGATAGCTGAGAATATTTCTGTTTCATTTCAGTTTTATGTGTGTCTAATCATAAGTCTCTTCTGGCCCATTTTCTGCAGATGTTTATTTTTTAAAATACACACAAAAAGCAAATTCATTTAAATGATATGCATTTTTTTCTTTAAAATGCACATTTTGTATATTTTTCTATCAATCCCCCCAAAACACAATTTTGTATGCATTTTGCACTCATTTTCCCTGTACAATATGCACACTTGCATTCACTTTTTAACCAAAACTGCACTGCAATTTCAACAGTCCCATTGTTAACTGTGTTCTAATCCACACTTGGAAAATTAGTCTGGACCACTTTATAATGTGGATTAAATGAAATTCTCCATCAAAGCATAGGGTCATAGTATTCGAGAGTTGGAAGGGATCATGAGGGTCATCACCGTGCAATGCAGGAATCTTTTGCCCAATGTGGGTCTCAAACCCATGGCTTTGAGATTAGAAGTCCTTTTGCTCTACCAACTGAGCTATGTATGACAATGAAAATCCAGAAGCCCCTATATAATCTAGCAACAAACATAGACTGATTGTCATGCTGCCCATTTGCCCTGTGCCACACATTTATTCAAACCTCTGCACGTAGCCTACATCTATATAGGTGGAACTCATATCAACACTCTCTATGCAGTCTCTTGAAATAATGGAGGGTGGAGGGACTAGAACATGCATGCATTTGTAGAAGTACCCTCTGTACAGAAGGTCAGATCAGTGTGCAAAGACCATACGCAAGGCCAGAAAGTCCATGTTCTCCTAGATAGTGCATCCTCCCTAGATTATTTTCTGCACAGAGTTAGAGAGCAGGCTGTGTGCAACAGCAGGAACAAAAGAGCAGCAGGAGCTCTGCAAAAGTGTGGGATCATAACCATACCTTGTACTTTGTCTACAGATTAAAATAACAAATAACCTACTTTCAGCCCAAGTGGAGCTGTACTAGAGGCAAGAAAGAAAATTGAATCTGGAGTGGTAGGGAGCATGCTTTGCATGTAGGAAGACCCATATTCAGTCATATTATGAAGGGCCAGTGGGTGTGCTGGGAAGTCTTAGAAACAGCTGCCTACAAGTTTTGATAGAATGAGCTATAGGGATAATTGATCTGGCACATAATAGATCATACTTGTCAGCAGGAAAAAGCACATTAAAGTTCCAGATTTGAGCACTGGGGTTTCCAAAAACAGGGGCTGTCTCAGAGGAAAGATGTCTGAAAGATGTCTGAGAGCCAGTGTGGTGTAGTGGTTAAGAGCGGTAGTCTCATAATCTGGGGAACCGGGTTCGCATCTCCGCTCCTCCACATGCAGCTGCTAGGTGACCTTGGGCTGGTCACACTTCTTTGAAGTCTCTCAGCCCCACTCACCTCACAGAGTGTTTGTTGTGGGGGAGGAAGGGAAAGGAGAATGTTAGCCACTTTGAGACTCCTTAAAGGGAGTGAAAGGCGGGATATCAAATCCAAACTCCTACTCCTCCTCCTCCTCCTCCTCCTCCTCTTCTTCTTCTTCTTCTTCTTCTTCTTCTGAAATCCAGGTGAACCACTGGAGAAGTGGAATATTTAATGTTGGGTGCCTCTACAGATTATGTTCACTTCTCTTTCACTCACTTGCCCTTCTTTGACCTTGCCTTGGATTTTCTAAAACTTGCAGCATTTTCTGATTATACAGCTACGTTTTCCAGATCTCCCTGATAGTTCTTGGTTCCTTGATGGTTCCATGTTCCAAATTTTGCTGCTGTAGAGAACATGTAAGTGTTGCAACTTGTTGACACCACAGACATGGTGACACCTTGAGAGCATCTTTCTCTCTTTCTAAATGTGAAGATTGTTGTTGTGTTACATCCCATTCAACAAATTGGTGTGAACCCATTTGTGGCTAATCATAGTTCTAACACATACATTTTTTAAAATAACAAAATGGTCATGGCTGTTAAGTTAGTCTAAGGGTCTTGCAGATTTTAGAAATTCAATGGAAGGGGACTGGTTTTTTCCCTTCCTATAATTGTATATGTAGGCTGCCATCAATATATTACATAAATGCAACAGGAGGGGATTCAATGGTGAATGTGTGTTGGCCGGCAATGAGATGTATCACAGTCAGATTCTTTCCAGTAGCGAGTTATCAAAGAAAGTACTGCACCATACTCACAAATGCACCTGGATTATGTAGTTAAAGGGAAATGTTAGGAAGGCAAGTGTTGCAGATTCCTTTTTAAATGGACTGAAGTGTGATTTGTTGTGCTTCTGGTGTTTGATTGAAAGTATGAGAATGCATTTGGGAAGTCGCTGTTTGCAACTTGCTGCTATGGCTAGTTCCAAACATTTCCTTCCCTCCAATGGAGGAGCTGAATTGTCAGGTGGAATTGTCATGGTGGAAATTCACCTTTCCAAGTTTCCCATTGGTTTGCTGCCCATCAAACTTCTGATCTTCAGTGATATGCCTGCACCAATGTGAGTTGGCCATTAAGCTTCTGTGCATTGCATAGAAGACTCTGAGGGAGCACTCTTTGGTACCTTGAGGAAATGGCAAAATCTGTTGGGCTCTGCTGTTGCCTTTCACAAACTGAGAATGCAGTCTAGGATATGACATTGCCATTTCCTGTGCACATTGCAGAGGAAGATTTGGCAATTTCCCTTAGGGAAGCTGTCCAGTATTAATGATCTTGTTAAGAATCACTGTTAGGTTTCCAAGAAGCACTGTTGCTTTGGGGGAAAAGTCTGAAAATCATTCTTCTGAGGCAGGGAGAGCACAAGAGATTCAACGAAACATAGGAAAGAGAGGAATGACAGTGCATTTGTATGCCATACATAATATTAGAGCACTAGCTAAGGTGTCCATTTATCTTTAGTGGCTATGATGCTCCGAATGAAACCATCAACCATATGTAAATAGTGGCGTGTGATGGAGATAATGTAAAACCACATACTGAAGTCACTTCACACTCATTCCCTTTAGAACTTGGCTGGGTTCTTCCATACTTCCTTTACAGACACTACCTGTTATGACAAGCACTCTGTTTTCACTATGACCCTCCAGTGGGCAATGGGATTTGCAGGACATTTAGTCTCACAAACACTCCTGCACCTAAAGAGCTCTGCTGTGAATTAAATGGCAATTTGTGCATGCATAAGTTTTGGTATGTGCTGAACAAAAGTGGATATACATAACTTCATTGGGGAGTTGCCTAACTAAAAAATGTAGATTTTTACAAGTACTTTGAATTCAGAAACACCATTGCACACTCTCTCACACACTAAAACACTTTTAATAAAGTCAGGAACTAAAAACTACTGTAAGGTTGAGTGCAGCCATTTTATTGGAAAAAAAAACTATGGGTATGTGCATTTCCTTTTTTAAAACACATTAGACAAGGAGCAATTGATGATCAGGAGTTAGTTATAGCTTTCTATACATGTTTATTTCCAAAACTATACAGACATTGGAAAATTGTCCTTAGGTCTCTGTATTGGTTATTGTTAATTCTGCAGTGATTATATATATATATATATATATATATATATATATATATATATATAATTCCTCATTCCCAGTTACAAACCTATTTGATATGAACTGGTGTTTTCAGTTTGTGACAATAAAAAAAAGTTGGCTATATTTACATGTGCTTAACGTTGCATAATTGACCATTGTACAGGTGTTTTAAAACCATTAGCTACTGCTAAATGAATTTCAAGATTGACCCAAGTGGGTTTGGTTGTTATTTGAATACACATGTGCTACACAGATATGGTTTATTAAAGACACCCTCTCTCTCACTCCCCCATCACCACTTTTGTGTTTTTGCTGTTCATTTACCTCTAAATCATGTTTTAGCTGTGGATATACTCTATATCATCATCAACCAACTGGGGTAGAGGAATACCACTGACCCCACACAAATCCATGGTGAACAGTGGGACTATATACTGGCAAAAATGAAAATGTCCCAACATCTGCTTGGAAAACAAATGTTTGCTGCATTTGTGAAAAAGCAAATATAGCAAGAGCTATATTTGGCTCTGGTTTATTCAGATGGATCATGCATCTCAGCAAAATATTCTAGGTGCAAATGATCGGCATTCAGAGTAGGGAATGATCAGTTGACTGCAAACAAATGCTTCAGAATACCGCAGCCAATCTTGTAGTACATAATAATTGCAGTTTCAGTTGCTATGGAGAAATGAGGAATAAAACAGCAGCAAACACCTGGAGCTAATCTATAGACTAAGGTATTATTTATATTGGTCTTACTGATGTGCTCTGTCTATGGATCATGTTCTGTTCAACGTCTTAAGGCTTGTCTAACTTCTTACAGAAAGTGCTGTCTGTTCAAATCTTCCATGCATGAGGGAGAAGGCATTTATGCCAGGAAAGAAAAGGATGATTTTAATCCATGTTTTTTTTCTGCTATAACAGCAAAGCCAGGGATATGAAATAAAATACAATATTGTATATGGTATCTTCGCTCCATTTATTTCCCCCCCCCCCCAAAAAAAATATAATTCTCCATGCACTAGACCCCAAGTACTACAAGGTAGTGAAATATTTACAACATTTGTACATGTGCTTTTAGGGAGGTCACCCAAAAGTTCTATTTTTATTTGGATGTAAAGAAAAGCTATTTTCCCCTAGACTAGTTACATCGATCTGAAGTGAGAGATGACTCTTCCAAAAGGAAAAGCCCACAGAGGACAAAGATATCACATATTTATAGTGAATGCTCACAAACTGAATGGTATTTTTACCTTTTAACTGCTGCCACTGCATAATGCCCAAAATCTAATGGTCTGTGGGTCCTCTCCCTACGGTGCCTCTCAGATTCATTGGTATCGTATGTAATACTTGTTTGTTTTTTGCTTATCGAATTTCTTAAAACGTTGACTGATAGCATTCAAACTACAACAATTTCATGGTAGCCTTAGACAATATATATGATATGATATTTACTGGGCTATGGCACTAAAGAATTCAGACCACTTTAGAAGTTCAGAGTTCCATGATGCACAATGGATTCCTAAGTGACGCAGGGCTGATCCACCTCCTGCACATGTCAGGGAATGCTCTGTGTGCATAAAGGAGCGTGCGTAGAGTATTCCCAGGCACTGAAGAGAATGGGATGCTTCTACTTGCAGGAAAGCCCACGAGTATGTTAAAAATTCCCCTCAAGTGCACTACAGCCATTGGAGCGGGGCGTCAGCTTGGATTTATACAGGTTACCCATCTCTCTAATAAATTCCAGGAGTAAGGCTCTTATCACCCAATTTCTTTTCTACTTGTTTAAAGGTAAAGGTAGGACACCCAGTAGACCAGATTAAACAAACAGAATGCAGTTGGGAAAAATATACGGGCGTATGAGTCCATTTTGGCAATGCGGATGTGTATCCTTCCATGCCGCCAGGCTCCCGTTCGGCAATCCTCAAAGCAGCAGAAGAAACTTGCGCAGTCCTTGCCATCGAGACATTCATATCCATATTCTTCGTCCCGTTCTTGGAGGTGTGTGGCATTGTTCATTTGGATGGTAGCTGACCTGGGGCGGATATCGATTGTAGGTGCCTAGGACAAACGAGCAGCAAGAAGGGGCAGAGGGGAGAATGAGTGATTTGCTCGTTGCTACAGTGTTCTGTTTCAACTAACATTTGATCCATCAAAATCGGTTGCTCTACATAATGTCAGAATGAGGGAGCCATGATGCTTAGATATGTTACAATGATGAACCTTTAATCTGGAACTTTCTCAAAGCAACAATTCAACACTTCGTCTTTAAATTCCCATTTTACTTAACAGCATCGGTTTGGTAGGGTTTAATTCCAAATAGGAATGCAGAATAAAAAGTGCTGAGATTTGTTTAAGTGACTGCTTCATATAAGAAGGCAATCACAATTTTCTATCCCCCGCCCCAGATCACTATTAAATTGGGGGGGGGGAGAGATAATTTAAATGCAGAATTCTTGAAAAATAATGCTTTATGTTCCTGCATGGCTAGGTAACTTAAATTGGTTAAGGGGAAGAGGATGCCACATAAGAATTATTTGAATATAGGTTAGGTGGGGCTCTATAATGATCTCTGCTATGAAGCACTCCTGACAACATGCAGCTCTTGATTAATAATGGTCCATTGACTAAAAGCTTCATAATGTCAACACAGTATACAGCAGCTGTACATGTAGAATCACTTGAATCATGTTTTACTGACAAACTCTTTTGATCCTTTGGTGAACATACTGCACAAAAAACAGCAGCTGGCACACAAATGATCAAAAAGAGTGAATTGTTAAAATTAAGGCTGGAGTCAGAAAATTGTTTGAAACAAAGTAAAATTATAATTTTAATAAAGCTCTGATTTTGGCTCCCACCTGCCTTTTTTTTTTTTTTTTGAAAAAAAAATCACCCAGAAGAACTAAATATCTGCATTTCAGAATGAGGGATGTTTGAAGTTGTTATACAGCTACCTGTATTTGCCATTTTGGATAGCAAATGATCTGAAGAGCTGGGGACAGCATCGAATGTAAGCAATTTATACCCTTTCAAAACTCTGAGAGTTTGTGTAAGAACAATATTGGCACCATTCCAATGGCATCTGATTGTTCATTGCAGATCTTTGAGAGATTTGAAGCTTGCATATCTTTAAATGAGATCATTAAGAGTCAGAACTGAGTTCTAAAAGGGTTTTTGTGGATTCTTGGTGTAGCTAGTGGATTGGATCCCATGAATAACTAAAAAAGAGAGCAGCACGAATGCTTTGGATATACTACTAGGCTCTCTTCATGCATGCGATCCAAACATGTTAAAATCCATTGAACTTATCATAAGTTCAAAACAGTAGTGAATTAGTGTTTGGGCTGCTGAATCAACTTCATGTTAATATCTACATATTAGCCATTCTACTTCACTGCAAGGTTGCTTCAAGTAGAATGCATAAATATCTAACAAGCCTTTATTGAAGCTATAGTTGTTCAATTCAGCAGTCACATGCAGTGGATTTCTATACCAAAAATATTATACCTTGAATGAAAACATCCGAAGAAGCTTTGGTTTTGTAGACAGAAAAAGAAAGAATCAGAGGTTTTAAATTAAAGAAAGGTAGAGGGGGGGAAAGGAGACAAAAAGTAGCATAAATTAAAGTTACTTTTCTAAACTATAGCAAGTCAAAAGAAATAGAAATAGAAAAAGGATTTAAGATAGAATTTTCTATAAGAACTTTAAAAGCGATTAACATGTAAAGAAGGATCTGAGTTAACAAAACTTGGAAATCCAATTTAAAATAGATTGACAGTTCAGGGTTCTGTGGTTTGTTCTGAGTTATTTCCATGGATAGGCAAACATACTGTGAGTAAGACAGTCAAATACTACCATTTTCTTTTCTGCTCCTCTAACTAAGGGGAAAGACCCACTAGTCTTGAGTAGATAATGTTCGTCCTCAAGGCCTATAGGCATTAATTTCTACCCTTTTACCTTCCTAGTTCACAATATGGTGAACAAGGATTGCAGATTGTAGAAGTATCTCTTGGTTCTTAAACTATTTGTTTAAGAGATTTCTATATTGCCTTTTAGCAATGATTTCAATGCAGATTACACAAATTAAGACAACAGCATCAAAAGGGAGGAGGGACAGCACTGTGCTAATAGAACACCCTATAAAATAAATAACTTATAATAGTAAGTGGTAGAAAAGAGAGAAGGGAGAAAATGCAGGCAGTAAAAAGAAAAGAGATGGGAATAAAGTGGCGGGGGGAAGAGATACAAGAAGAAATTCATATTTTGAAATTCAGATTAGTAATGTCCATACTCTCGACCTTCCTTCTGTCCTTAATACAATGCTTCTAAGATTCAACAGGATTATAGGATCAGTGAGGTATGGGTACAGGTAGATCATCTTGAGGTAACTTCCCTGCTGCCATCTTTCAATATTAGCAAGGAGTCCAAGGACACCCATAAAGGCAGTGGGTCACATTCCTCAGATGACCCACGTTACAGGCCTGCCTTCTAACCACCACCACCCATGTATCTGTAGACACAATTCCAAAAGATGTGGAACACACATTTACAGTCTTGATTTGCCCTGTTATTTTCAATCAATCAGAACTATTCTCTGTGACTGGGCTTCAAAGCAGTTTGACCACAGCCTCAGAGTTCACAAGCCATCACCAAATGAGCTAGTTGTTGAAAATACATGCTCCAAAAGAGAGGGACCATAATTCCAGGCAGATTAATTTTAAATGTTACATGCAGCCCAATCCTGTGCTGGAATTCAATGCAGCTTGCTCCCACAAAGTGTACCTAGGATTTAGTTTGTTCCCGTGGTTACAGCAATTAAACACAATAGAAGATATGCATATGAGCAGAAAATGGACCAAATAAAAGTGGTCGATTCTCTTGTCACTAACAGTTAAGTTTCCTTTAACTGTGAGATTTGAAGTGGACCAATGTATAGCTATTTGTCAGATTTTGTCTTGATATATTTGATACTCTTCTGGAATCTGGCTATCAAAGTCAACCCCGATATAAAAAAGGATCATGTGAACCTGATCAGCCATTTCCTTCCTTTCCCTTCCCTGGTCATCAAGCAAACCTTCTATGGTTTCCACTTCTAATACAGCTACAGGACAACAAAATGCTCATTTCTGGGAAACATAATTAAAATATGGGTTATCAGTTGGTGTAGTAATAAAAATACATACAGGGTTTTTCTTCTTTTTGTCTTTATCCTTGCTTGGTTTTCTGTTACTGACAAAATAGTGAAGAGTCCCGTACTCCACCAGGGCAGAAAAAACAAAAATAAAGCAAACTGATACAAAAAGATCCATTGCTGTCACATAAGAGACCTTGGGGAGGGATTTGCGAGCGATCGTGCTGAGGGTGGTCATTGTCAGGACAGTTGTGATACCTAGGAAGGGAACAGAAAATACATTATTACTTCAGGGTTCTCCCTTGCGTGAATATATGCTGGCATGAGCAGAAGGCACAACACCACAATCCTCTCCCATATGCTTCAACACATGAGGCATTCCTTGTACTGTTTAATTCCACATTAATATTCAGCTCCCTCATTGTGCGTCCCTGTGGAATGCTCCTGGTTTCTGTGGGATTAGAACAATCAGCTAGCCTCAATATGGTCAGAAATGTGCTTATATAAACCAATAAACTGTGAGGTTCCCCTGAGAAATGCAAGCAAAGGTCTTGGTGCTTCAGGATGAGGTGAGCAATGCATCATAATAATACCCTTGGGTTGCATGCTGCCTCTCTCCTCAGGCATCTCCAAAGTGTTTACAGATATTGATTAACTGAGCTTACAAATAGGCCTCTTTCACTTAAGATCTATGTAGGACCACTGGTCCATGTAAACATCTCACTCGAGTGTGCTTCAAGGGATAAGGAGTGTCACAATATTGTAAATGGCAATGTTTATCACACTGGGCAGCATTTGCGCATAGCAGTGATTGAACTAAAAGTGCTGGATTTTCCATTTCAGTTGCACAGAAGGATGTAGTTACATCAGCTTCAACTGTTCCATTACTCCTGCTAAGTATCAAATGTTGGCTGTGATTTCATGACACGGAGCTACTGTATCCATAGACAAAGCAGAGGGCCCAATTTCATGAATTGGAAAAACTAGGCCTAGAAACACTCTGGGATTCTCTAAAGGTCATTTTAATTCTACTGAAACACCATGGGAATAATTTTGTTCACTACAATAACATGAAATAAAGCAGGCATTCCAGTCACACAGTGTGATGCCCAGTTTATGTATGAATTGGCCCCAGATCCTGACAGTTTGGATCCATGTGCACAGGGAATGGTCATAATTCAGAAAAGGAACACAATCAATCAGAATAAAGAGAAGCCATGACCTACCCAAAGATGTTCTGGCTGGGACGGCATCCTTATTAATCCAGAAAGAGACCCAAGATAGCACTACGATGAGTGTGCAAGGGATGTAAGTCTGAATGGTGAAGTAGCCCATCCTTCTGCTTAGATCAAAGTAGACTGCCATGACCACATAATCTCCTGTAAAATATATGTTATGCAAGGTGAAAGGGCTTGAGGTGTAATAGTCATTCCTCAGCCATTATTTTTCTGTAATTTTCACTGGATGGTATCCAATTAAGTTTTATTCAGAATAAACATATCAAAATTGATGAACCTAATTAATCATGTTCATTAAATCCAATGGAGTATAGCCTGGTTTAATGTCACCCACTGTGTTCAGTGAGGGTTATTCCCAGTTAAATCTGCGAAGGTGTTCAACCTTAATCTGCCGTCTAAAGGTCAGTAAATAAGGCACTAGACTGTTCCTTTGCTCACCTCAGGAAAGGCCCTACTGTTGAACACCACAGAAAAGTTTCACAACGAATGCTTTCTTCGAGGCAAAGAATTGAACAGGTGTCTCTTTAAAACTAAAGGTAGTGCTTTATTGACTGGAAGGAATGCAGTGAAACTTCTTTGAGGTTACTGTGCTGTGCTTGTTGTGCCAATGATTATGGGCTCCCCAAAATAGCAGTCTATGGACGTGGCCATCCTCAGGCTGCTACTGGAAGCTCTATGGCCCATCTACCCCACATTTGGCTTCTGGACAGGGATTTGCATCAAGACTCCTCTAATGGGGTACACTGAATACGCCACTGGATAAGGTCTGGGTGATGCACCACTTCACCCAAAAGCTTGATGACTAGGATTCCACCCAATGCCTTAACCACCAAAAGTTGTGACATTTTGCTTTGGAGAAGGCAAAACCTCCAGATAGGCCAATCTCTCTGCAGGCAAATTCCTTCCTGGCTCCAGATATGGCAACCATTAGCAACCAGAGCAAGGTCAGATGGTACAAGGAGGCAAAAACATGGTTAAACAAGAAACCTAGGAAACAAATATGGTTAAACCAGAAACCTGAGAAGCAAGTTATAGTGAATATACATGATAAAACAAATGACCTAGAATGTAACAAAAAGGGTAAAAGGGTAAAATTACAGGAGCATGGGAGGGTTTGCTCTTCAGATGATTGTGCTGAAGGAGTCAGTGTCACTGGTGGACCAGAGCAGGAGAAACCAACTCACAAGGCTCTGCCCACTAGTGGGATGATCCTGACTGGCTCATTTAAATACAGAATTTTGGCAGGCAGTCCTGCCCTGCAGTTCAGCCAGCTGAGGAAATTCCCAACGGCTGGTTGAGATTGTGTGTGACAGCTGCCAGGGACAGTGGCCAATCCATGAGGGGCTGCAACAGTCGCGCCCCCGGGAGAAGGCGGAAGTGGCCATTCTCTCCCAGTGATTCCTTGAAGGGCCCTGAGAGAGAAACAGTCCCAGGAGCTCCTACCAGAAGCTCCCACTATCTAAAGGGGGCTTTGTGGTGGAAGGCTGAGTGTAGTACAGATGTAGCCCTGAGAGGCTGCTGCACAGCAATGCCCATATATCTGCAACCCTGGAAGAAAAATACACATCAAAAATTTCTGGGCATCAAACCACCACCTCCACTGTTAAAAGAAAATAACCAATTAGAGTTAACCAATGAATTTTGCTTCTAATAGCAAGACTAGCATCTTAAATGTTAATTTAGCTAATGTGTACAAACATGAATAAAAATCTGGAATCAAGCTATTTAGATGGGCTCTGTTCAAAGGCAACAGGAGTTTGCGCAGCACAAACTGCTTTTCATGGGTTAGGAGTTTCCCTTGTTTGCTTCAGGAATAAATGGTGCCAGGACAACAGATGGATGGGGAAAGGAATGAAGAGAAATCTGTGATGCATGACCTAAATTGGTTCAAAGTTTCCCGTGTGGTTTATCAACTGTTCCTTAAGGACTGATCAAATGTTTAACAGCTGGAGTAAACATGGGTCACTGTTTAGATGATAACTAGTAGACACAATGTTATTGGCACAGTTGACAATGGCCACATGGCATGTAGAAACCCAGATATACACCAGCTGTCCTAACAAACCATGCTCTTTACAGGGAGGAAAAGGGAATGATTTAGAGTGGACATTCTGCTTAAATTCAGGATTGGCTGAATTAAATGTGTTGTGGCAAAATATTTTTATTTAGGGGGTGCGGGATTAGTATCCTTTCCTCTTTCATTACTGTATCTTGCAGTATCTGCTAAGAATTTGAGCAAGTCTATATTTCAAATGATGCATCTTCAGCATTTGAACCTGCTGTGGTGCTTTATATAAGCACTCGATAATAGTAAGGCACCCAGCGCCTCTGAAATTGTACAACTGGCAAGTGATGGCACATCTTGTCAGCTGTATAAGTAAGAAATCTGCCCACAATTAGCACAGGCCCCATGTATAGCATCATGAATTAGCTCTATCTACTCTGTCCTTTCCAAACATTCATTTCCATGCCACAATTAGAGTTTCACTACATAATGAAGTCAAGCACAATTGCATCTTTAACAACACTTGCTCCAGAGTTCATTTATGTCAGATTCTCTTTGGGATGAAGCTACCTGCTAGGAACCCAGAAATCCCAACTATATTTTATGACTAATTCTGTATGTGTCTCATGCTAGTGAATGAGTCAGAGATGATCAAACATGTTCAATTCATGAGTGGGAAGCGCATGTATATCCCAATCCTATGGTTCATCCTATGGTCACAGAATCACAAATCAAATTGCTGTGGAATCCAATGGGGGCAGTGCAATGCTTTGTACATAAGACTTGGTGGGCAGGGGTTATTCCAGAGAATCACTCTGATATGAAATGACATTTCATTTTTTAAAATTAGTGTGACTTTTACTGCTTAAGTGCAATTAAGCATTTGGCATTTCACCATTGTTTGTAGCTCCATCCTATTGAAATTAAGGAGCAATGTATGTCTGTGCATTTTATTCCAAAAGTAAATGCTATCTGTTCTGACATTATGCTGGTACCATTCTTTAGCAAGTTATAACTCACCTCTAGTTACCCTTTAGACGTAAGCTGACAGCTAGAGACCTACAGTTAAAATGCAACCTTACATCTATTACCAAAGGGTGCAATACAGTCAGCAGCTCTTTACATGCTCACAAGGTCTAGGACATCTCAGCATATCTTCTAAATCCACTTCAATGAGTGAATTAATGTTTTCTCTTTGCACATGATCCTTGGAAGGGAATATATGGAAGTGTACTGGGAGACTTGCTCACTTTAGCTTTCTATATATGCCTATGTAAGACACCACTTGTGAATCTTTGGAATGTAAATGTGAACAGTAAACATACATACACACAATTCCCAAGAGTAGGTGTAGGGGTGTAAGGGTGTGTGGGTGTGGGTGCACGCACTCTTTAAATGTTTTTGTCATTTTAGTTCTGAAAGGCTTATAAAATGGCTGCTATGCAAAATACAGCTTTTATATTTTACCAAAACTTTTAGCATATAATGTAGTTAACTGGGACATAATTAAAATAAGTAAGCCGTTGTCATTTAGAAAAGTAGCACAGTGCCTATCTGGGGATTAGCAGAGACTTGTCAGGAAGATGTTTGGTATTTGGGATTAGCATCTATGTGAAGAAAAAGCACTGATGGAGTAGACTGAAGTACCTCAGGAGGTACCATTACACACCAAAGTGTAAATAATCTGCAAATGAAGATGCATCTGCTTCCTTTTCCTTTTATTTCCTCCTCAGTAAGCTACCACTGTGGAGGAGAGCAATATGTTTTTTCATTTGAGCTGTTCAGACTGGTTGAAAGATTGGCTTTCCAATTAACCTGCAGAGTTCACTATTATACCAATAATATTCAAGGAAATTGCTCTGCGGTTGTGAATAAATGAGATTTTAGAACAGAAGCATTTCCTCTGCATGCAACCTAGGATGCAAAAACGTCTTCCAAAACTGGAGCCAAAGTTCTAACAGTTCAAACTCTCAGTTCTTGTATCTTGTAAATGCTCTGGAAAAAAATGTACTCCA